ACACGTTTTTTACATTAGCCACAATAGAAAAGTCACTCATACAGTCCATGTAAGTACCACTACAGGGCAAAAATAACCCAAAAGGGTACTTTTGTAAATATAAAGTAGAGCAAAACAAGAGGGATTTGACCTCATCTGACAGAACTTCAGAGTTGCACAGATACACCTCCCATGGCTTCTGCCTATACCTCCACAATTTAATAACCACAGGAGGACTTGATTACAAAGATCTCATATGATCTGCAGAACGCACGGCCACACTTGGTGCCCATTCCAACAGAACAATTGTTAGGCCAGGCATGGTCTAACAATACATCACACAGCTGGAGAAAAGCTGCTGCAGCTACGCCCACCAGCCTGGCTCAGGTGGGGAAGGGCTGGGAGAACTAAGGGAGAAAACTGTGCTAAATAATAAATGCTGGAGAACATGTCCTACAGATTCATCCTACGAAATTCCCTTCAAACATATGACCCAAATGAAGGAAGGGAATTGTGGGTGACTGGCTTGTGGAGAACAATAAGCAAACCCCATAACAATAGTGACTTAGTGGGTGGGTTTTGTTCTGAGATCCCAAGGACCTTAAAATTGTTGGAGAATATTCATTCCCAAGTGCTTGTGAATCCAAACCAGAAATAGATCCTTGTTTATTTGCTGGGTGTTTCTGAAAAGTAGCAGATAGTTTAAAAAGAAAAACCCAAACAAACGAAACCCCACACACAGTTGCAAAGAGCTGGTGGGTCTAACAGACACTGTTATAAAATGTTTGTACAGCACTGGGTGTTCAGTGTTCAACAACAGATAAGAAACACTCTGCCTTAGAACAAGGAATTCCTTTGCACCAGTAAAGACACAAATTGTACTGCACTACTCCAGGTCCTAAGACTGATAATGCAGATGTCTTTATTTGGCCCCTCCAAAAAAAGCTACAAAACCCACACCCAAATAAAAAAGCAAGAATTGGCTTCTTCGTATGTGGATGTGAACCTGAATAAAAGGGCCATCACAGCCACTTCTATAGCCTGTAAAAATAGGGTGTCCCTGGCATCGTAGGTATGAACCTCTCAAAGCAAAAATAACAATTCTCAGAGAGAGATGTTGATAACATATTAGCAAACCACTGGAATATCTTTCTAAAAGGCATGGCCACTCTGGAATAATGTAAGAGAACACTTTTGAACACAGAGGGTAAACAATGTTCTCCTGGGGAAGCCTATGTTCATTCATGAATACAAAGTGAGGCAAACCCAATGGGCTGGGGGGGCCTGCATGCTCTGCTTCACCGGGATCCAAAGATGTGGTTGGACCCCCTTTGGACATCTGGGGGTTACAAACCTGGAAGGACAATCCTAGAAGACAAAACGCAGGGCAAATTCAAAATCAAAGAGGCACAGACAAGTGAATTGCTGCAGCTGTGTCTGTTGGGATGGTAACAAGGGGGAGCAGGTAGCCAGGGACCACCTAACAAAGGCCCCCAGGCTTTGCAGAGTCATGCTAACCCTCCTCAGCTCCTCCGACTGCTTTTTGGCAAGTCAGTCTTGGTCTTTTCTTAGAAGCCGTGGGGATGTTTGTTGTGCCTTTGTTCTGTAGTTTCTGTGATTTCCTATTTATTAGTGTGTGATTTGTTTTGTTAATTCATTAATAACATCAGCCCAGCAAACACTGTGTTGTTGGAACCGTTACAATCACTCTGCTCTTTCCCTGCCTCTCTTTTCATCATATTCAAAATGCAGTGACACAGAAGGAAACCTACATCAAGTCAAACAAGCAAGCAATTAGAAACAAGCTTGCCATTGGCAGTTGTCTGAGGGAGAAAACACCCCCCCTAACAAAACAACAACAAAACCCATCCTTTTCTTCACATCCAAGCTTTCAGAGGCAGTGTATCTACTGACCTGTATTCCTTCTTCTCAGTGGATAATTTCCCCTTAAAGATACAGCACTGTGGGAATGAGACACTTTAGGATGCACCACTCCCATACCAGAAGGATCTCAACACCTCCTGTTCTCTACAATACATTTACAAAGAACCATTCCCCGAGATCTAAATGTTTATTCTGTTCAAGTGCTGTAGAGGAGAAACAAACCCATGAAATTATCACCCAAGGACTCAGGACATTAGTGCAGATATCTGTGTTTGGCAGAGCTCATAGGCTGTGTTCTAACCTAATCTAAATTAAGTGTTTAGTTTTTCCCAAGCACAGCCACTGGCAGACCATTGATAGGAACTGGAAAATGAAATAACATCCCTATTCTACCCTTGTTTTCCACTGCAAAGATAAAGGGGTGCTCTTGATGGTTTATTGGATGTTTCAGGGCTTGTTCAAAGTTAAGCAAACAGCACTGTCTGGGGAGGGAGGCAAACCCTGAACTCGAGGGTCTGGCTAGAAGAAAAGTGAAATTCAGCAGATCAGCCAGGAATAGTGGGGGAAAAAAACCACTGTGGGCTTCCTCCGGTCAAAAGGGTATGACCTGACCTAGTCAGTCTTGCTACTCTTACAATTTCATATTCAATTATTACCATAATTTTCAAGAGTAAGATTTACTTGCCATTCTAGGGTTTATGTTATCTGTCTTGGCAGAACTGTAGTTGTGCTTAGGTGAAATCCAAACGTCCTTATGAGCTCCATCAGAACAGTGCAGGGTAATGCCGTGGATGGGGACATGGAGACGGTCCTGGAACACTACCGATGGCAACTGCTTGTGCACGATACCCCAAAGGAGCACACCCCAGAAATCAGACAGGACTGGTAAAACTCTTTGGGTGCAAGTAAGCTCCTTGCATAAGAGCCAGAGTTGGGAGGGGTGGAGATGAGTGTTCAGGACACTGTGTTTGGAGTTTGGCAGAGGATGTGATACAGGGAGGTGTATATGAGAACGTGGACTTGGTGGGAATTTGCTTGGATGTTATTTCAGTCCTGCTGGCTTGGCTCAGCACAGGAGGTGTTTCTGGCAGTGAGCTGAAAAAGGAATTGGGCATTTTACAAGCAATATAACAGTAGGGCGAGAATGAAGATGGTGTGCCTTGGAGTGAAGTCAAGTTAGGGATTGAGCAAGTCGTTGTGGTCCAGGGATGGCTACTGAGTGTTTGCTGGGAGGGCATGAGGGTGTTGTAGGTCTGCTGGGAGAGGCACCGAGGCAGCACACGCGCTGTGTGGAACAGTGTCAGGTGGGGAATGAGCTGCACAGCCTGGTGGGCACCACAAGTGATAAATGGGTATCTGGAGTCAAGACCCAAATTCCTGGATTTTGTATGCACACTCATTTTGAGCTGGGCTGGAAAGCTGGGGGGATTCATGAGGAGAACAAAGAACTAAAAAGTACAGGTGGAACTCCTTGATTAGTTCAATGGGCAACTCGGGGTGAACACTGCGAGGGCCAAGTGGGGAAAAGGAGAAGCTGTGTCAGGCAGTTCCCCAGAAGGCCGAGCAGAGAAGCAGGGAGGGGGCTGCCTGACGGTGCTGGCAGTGTTGCAACACAGGATCTGGAGATCTGTGGGACGGCCTTGGTGCTTACAGAGGAAATACAAGTAGTTCCCGCCATTACCTCTCTCCTGTGCCGGTGATCATCCCTGTCCCGGCCTGTGCATGCACTGCTGTGCTGCGCGTGGGGGTCTCAGCGAGAACACTCGGGACAGATCCACCGTGCCGCGTGTGGGAGGCCGGCGGTGAGCACGGGGCAGCCCCCGCGCACGGAGGCAGCGCTCCCGACACCGCCCGGGCCCCGCGGCTCGCCCGGGCCCGCTCCGTGCCCGAGGGCAGCCCGCGGTACCGCCGGGCCCGGCCGCGGCCCCAGCGCGGCCCGAGGGCAGAGGCGGGGCCGCCCCTCAGCCCCGGCGGGGAGCGCTCGCCATGTCAGGGGCGGGACCGGCCCGGCCGGCGGCGGGGGAGAGCGGGGCGGGGTGTGAGCCCGCGGCTGAGCTTCTCCCTGAACCCGTGGCGGTGTGCGAGGCCATGGCTGAGGCCGTGAGACCGTGGCTCACGGTGTGTGGGGCACTCCCGGGCCGCTCCCACTCCCTCAGCCCGTGGTTCCCGGTGTGTGGGGCGCTCCCGGGCCGATGGCGGCCCCTCAGCCCGTGGTTCCCGGTGTGTGGGGCACTCCCGGGCCGATGCCTCTCCCGCTCCCTCAGCCCGTGGTTCCCGGTGTGTGGGGCACTCCCGGGGCACTCCCGGGCCGCTCCCGCTCCCTCAGCCCATGGTTCCCGGTGTGTGGGGCACTGCCGGGCCGCTCCCGCTCCCTCAGCCCGTGGTTCCCGGTGTGTGGCGGTCCCCGGGCCGCTCCCGCTCCCTCAGCCCGTGGTTCCCGGTGTTAGGGGCACTCCCGGGCCGCTCCCGCTCCCTCAGCCCGTGGTTCCCGGTGTGAGGGGCACTCCCGGGCCGATGCCTCTCCCGCTCCCTCAGCCCTCGCCTCACGGCGTGTCAGCGGCGCGCGCCCCCCCCATGGGCCCCGCCCCCGTGCGGCGGGCGCGCGCAGCCCGTGTCTCGCGGCGGGGCGCGGGCGCCGCTGGGGGGCGCTGGCGCGGCTCCCCGTTGCGGGGCGCGGGCGGCGCATGCGCGCAGCGGGCGCGGCGATGGCCCCGCAGTGACGGGCGGACTAACGGCGCCAGCGGAGCGGCCCGGCCCGGCCCGGCCCTGCCCCGGCCCGCCGCCCCGCCGGGGGATGCGGCCGCGCTGAGCCCGCGCACAGCCCCGCCGCCCCCGCCGCCCCGGGCAGCGCGGCCCCGCCGCCGCCGCCGCCCCGCGCCCGCCCGCGGTTCGTGCCTGCGGCCGCCGCCATGCCGGGCCGCCGCTGAGGGAGGCGCCGACAGCAGCAGGGCCCGCGGTGCGGGCATGGCCCGCCCGCAGCTGCAGTAGCGCGGCCGCCGCCGCCCGCGCCGAGGCGCCGCTCGCAGCGAGGCCCCGCGGGGGGCGGAGGAGGAGCCGGCGCGGCCCCTCCGCGCTGCCGCCGCCGCCGCGCGGCCCCGGGCGGCCCGGACCAAGGTGACACCCGGGCGGCCCCCGCCCCGGGGCCACCCGCGCCCGCCGCCCGCGCGGACCTTCTTCTCAGCGCGGAGCCGGCGGCGAGCGAGCGGCGGCGATGAACCCCGTGAATGCCACTGCTCTCTACGTGTCCGCGAGCCGCCTGGTGCTCAACTACGACCCGGGGGACCCCCAGTCCTTTTCCGAGATTAACAAGCTCCTGCCCTACTTCAGGCAGTCCCTCTCCTGCTGCGTGTGCGGTGAGGATCTTTCTTTTGTTCCTGCACAATGAGGCTGCCCGGGGCTCCCGCACGGCCCTGGGCCGGGCCGGGCCGGGGCTGTACCGGGGCTGTGCCGGCCTGGCCTCGCCCCGGCCCGGGGCAGCTCCAGGGAAAGTTTCGCGGCCCCGCCGGGGGGGCGGCTCGGGAAGGTGCAGTGGGAAGAGTGTCGGGATAATCCCGCCCCCGGCGCGGGGCAGGGCGGGCACGGGGCTGTGGGAGCTCCCCAAAACACGGGGTGCGGGAGCGAGCGGCTGTCGGAACACCCCGCTGGAGTGGCTGTTGGAATACCCTGCCATGGTGGAGTTAATCGCTTTAAAAAAGCCACGACTAAGAGCCAGCGTGGTAAAAGATACTCCAAACAATCCCCAGACCGTGGAGGTAGGGAAAGAGGAACTGCTAACTTTCCTTCCCTCCCCCTTGAAATGTAAACAAAAAGTAATTCCGATTGAAAGCCAGGAATTTGGGGCGGGCATAAACAATAATTGATTTTTTTTAATGTGCCTATATGCCCTGTGACAATAATCACCATAAAAAGCAAACGGGCCGAAGGTCTGCTGGGCCTTCCCCACTCCCATCCGCCTCCCCCCAAAAAAGAGCGTTCTGTGGGCAAAGGCAGCGTCCGGAATTTCGGTGTTCCAGGCTGGGGAGCGCTGGGAAGGAACCGCGTCCTGCTGTGTCTGTGGAGCGGGGGCACGTGGCCCTTCGGGAGGAAGCTCTGGGATAAGCCGTCAGCCCTTCTTGAACTTCCCTTTGCAGCTTCGGTCGGTGTCGGGAGAGGGCTCGGAGCTCTTGGACCTCTCGGTTGATTAATTGGTTAATTCTCCTTCTTTCCCTGCGGTAGTTTTGAGCCCCGGCTCTGTGCGTTCGTGTTTTCCTGCCCTTGTTTGTCGTTGCTGCTGTGTGTGCTCACACTCGGCTTGAATTGAATCACTGGGGTTTATAAAGTGAAATATTGTATTTATTTTCAGGAGGAGGGTTTCAGCTGTCGAGGCTGCTAAGCCAGTGTTGGATGCTTCCTATCCCTCCTCTCCTCCAGCTATTGGCTCCTCCCATTTAAAGTCTTAGAAAATAGGGATCTGTTTGTAGTGGGAAGGAGGGAGCCCGTTCCCAGGATCTCTGCAGCGTCACTTCCTGGAGTAATTTGAGGTGTTTTTTCCTCCTGGAACCCTGATGTCAGTATTGATGCACCTCTGCTCTTTATTTCTTATTACCTTAGGCTGGTTAATTCAGCCCTGACTGTGCTTTTTCCCAGTAAGTCCTTCCTGCTTTGGGTCAATCACCAGAGTGCTTTTGCCTAAAAATATGCAAATATTGTTCTGATTTGTTTTTAATAAGCTATTTACATAGGGACTGTGTGTTTCTAACTGCTGTGCTATCTGGCCTCTCCACTTTAAGCCTGGTCTTCTGAAATGTGTTCTTTGTTCTGCTTGCCTTGACTTCTTCCCTTCTTGGCCTTTTGCAATCCTGTTTTTACACTCTGTGCTATTGAAATAGTCTGTCTTTAATTTGTCTCTGCCCAAATTTCTGAATATTTTTTTCCCCTCTTCAGCTTTTTTTCTTGCTTGGCTTTTCTCTCACTCTGAGTCTGGTAGAGCAAACCACGCTTTTTAGTTTGTTTTCTTCTCTTGCCTTGTGCCTCCACGAATGTTCCTACTTACAGACTATCCTTCATGGTCCCCCTTTCTCTCTTCATCCTTTATTTTAATTGAATGTCAAGGTTATTCCTTTGGTTTATGTTTTCCCTGCTGTGTCCAGCTTTCAGATAACTGGAGCTGCTGTTTATTTCAGTATTTAGCCTGAGTGATTACCCAGCCTTATCTCTGCCTCTGGGCTCCTGTTTGTGGGTGGCACGTCCAGAGGCCTCAGGAAATTCCAGGCTCTTTGTGAAGCTCTGCAGTAAAAGAGTTTGTGTCCTGCAGTTCCTCAGGTGTCTCTCTGGACCCTGCAGGCTCTGGGGCTCCCCAGCACCCACAAACCTGCAGATCACACTGGTAAAGCCAAATCCACCTTCTTTTTCTTGTTTGCTTGTTGTGTTCCTTTCCTCCCACTTCTGTTGGTGCCTCCTTCGCTCTTGATCCCTCTGACCTTGCTGGGGTATTTTTAAAATGCTCTTTTTCTGTTCTGTACTTCAGTGCTAAGGGCTTCTGCATGTTTAAAGTCACTGAAACTATCCAACTGTCAGAACCTTTTTAATGTGGGTGTTTTAAAAGTACTGAAGTAAAGATTGCATTGGGAGATCACAACAGTGGGTGCAATGACCACCCAAAACTTTACAGTGTGGGGTTGGTTTTGTTTGTTTGTGGTTGTGGTATTTTTAAAATTTAAATTCATAAAAGGTTGTCAGATGCCCACTCCTTTCTACCCTGTTTGTCTGTTTGGGCCATGAGATCCAAGGCCTGGCTCTGGGTTCCTGTGCACAGGACTCTGGGTGTCTTCTGGGGGCACTTCCCATGCACAGACCTCAGCAGATGCTGTCTGGACTGTAAAGGTGTAAAAACTGTGCTTTGTTGGAGAAGTGGTGCCTGAATTATCAGTGGTAGTTCAAGTCTCAAGTGTCGGACTTGCAGGAATTCCCTTGGGAAGTTACTCCCCAAGTGAGTGCTCCTTGTGCCATTCCCTCAGTGTGTGATCTCTGTGCATCCTGTAGTGCTTTGTTAGGCTGTAGGTCTGAATTCCACGCTCAGGATTGTCCCCTTAATTTTAGGGAACAGTTTTTAGGGGAAATGAGTGCCAGCTCTACAAACCTGACATTCCTGGGCTTCCCCTGTGTTCCCAGAGTATTTCCTTGTGGTCCCACAGTGTCGTACCCAGCTCACAGAGCAGGGCTGGCAGAAGCTTTTGGGCCCCCGTTAATGATCAGATTCTAACTGCAGCTCTGGTTTCAGACTGGGATTGGCACACACAGCGTTGAGCAGGACAAAGCCCAAATGCAAACACAGTGTGTCACTGAGGCTGTTGGGGGGGTTCAGGGCTCCTCCTGCCTCGTGGGGGATGAAGGTTCACTTCTGCTCTGGCCGTGTGTGTATTTCTAGGACTTAAGTGTGATCATGTGACAGTTTCCTGGACAGTGCTGGCGGTGATACATCATCCTTTTACAGGGATGTATAAGACAGTATTTCCTAGAGCTTTTACAACTTAAAAATAACTGCTCCCGAGTGTGCATTAGGCAGAGAGGCTGTGCCTTGTGTGTTTGGAAGATGTGAAATACAAGTTCCAGTCTCTGGAATAAAGGGATTATTGTTAAGTTGCATATTAACACCATGTTTAGTTTAAAAATAGTTTAGTAGAATTTACGCAGCAAACTTGTATGTTTTAAAGGTCCTGCCTGTTGGGATAAAATTCTCCTAACAGTGCCTTTCTCAGGTTCAAATCCCAGGTAGGTCACTGCAGGTCAGTCAGAGGTTCAGCTGCTTTTCAGCAATAACAGCCCTCTCCGAAACTCACTTGAAATGTCTGTAGGAGACACAAGTGCCAGTGAGATCAGCTGAGCGTTTTCTCCACGGGAAACCTCACCCTGGAACCCCTGGCAGATATTTCGAAGGGGTGTGAAAGATTGTTAGTGCTGATTCAGAGTGGGAAAGTGCCAGGAAGGTGGCAGGGCTGTGGGACAGCACTTCATGCCTGGCCAGGAACCCGGCTGCGAAATACAGGATGGGAACACGGTTCTTGTCTTACACATCCTGTAATCCAAGGAAGGGGATGTGAGACAACACGTGGCTGTAGGGAGATTAGGGGTGGGGAGGAACAAAGAAAGCCCATGAGAGCCCTGCCTGGTGCCTCCTGCAGCCCCCCCCCCCCGAGTGTTCTGAGGCAGCTCCTCATGGTTCTGGTCAGGGGGTTGGAGGCTCAGGGGTGCAGTGGCATCGTGGAAGCAACTCCCAAGCGTGGGAATGCCATGGATTGCCAAAAAATCAAATAAAAACTGCTGACTGTTTGTTTTCCTGTGTAAAGATTAGTGTAGGGATATTTCCCTCCTGCTCTTGTGTAAATGTAACAGGCTGTTTTTGAGAGTTTTATACTGCCAATGTAGGTTGAATGGAGTGTATAATATAATTACATGTTATAATCAATTATACTTATCAGTGGAATTATGGGGCCCATTCTGCTGGCTGGGTTTGACATTCCCCCATGTAGTTGTGTAAAATTCTCCATCTTTGTGCCCTTTTGTCCATGTGAAGGCTCCTCCTCTTCTTCCTCCCCCCTCTCTGAGGTGCTGTTGTCCCTCACACCCCTCCCTGGTCCGGGTGTCCTCAGGGGTGTCCCAGTGCTTTGGGCTGCACTTGGTCACCGGGAAATGATGGGAATTAGGCCTGTACAGTTTGATTAATCTTTGATGTGAACATTCCTGCAAGTTTCTGGGGGAAGCAGCACCACAAGCAAGGGGAATGCCAGGGAATTTTGGCTCTGGAGTGAGCAGTTTCCCTGTCAGTGATGGAGGAGGAGAGACAGGGATGCAGGGAGACAGCCTGGGGCAGGCAGCACTTACCTGCTGTCCCTCGGAGAAGGGGACAGGGTTGAGTGGCACCTAAACAGACTGAAACTGCCTAGAAAATTCAATTTCCTGGCACAGAGATGGAAGGAGGGAGAAGAAACAAATTCCCACTGTAATAAAACTTAATTATATGCATGGTACTGGATTTTCTGTTTGGGAAATGAGCATGGCTGAGTTAAACCCAGATATCAAAGTCTTAAAGTGAAAAAGTGTATTTAAGTTTCTTGATGGAAGAGTTTAGCCTAGAACTCTCCTTCCTTGTCTGTTCTCCCTGGATTAAGGAGAGTGAAGACTGATTCATGATTGGAGTTGCCTTTTACATTTGAGAAGTGATCTGGCTCTGGGCTTTTTTTTAGGTATTTTTTCATCGACATTTTCTTTTTTTCAATGATGAAAATACTGTCCAGGTATCACCTTATGGTGGTTTTTAAAAGTGTGTTATTTCCCCCTTAAAAATCACATGAGTAGTTGCCAAAATACTTTGGAA